TCAACTCTTTTTTTTATTAAAAACTTTTAAAAAGTTTCGGATATTAGCTGCTAACTCTCTGAGCTTCCTTGATTTTATCCGTTAAAGTTGGTTGAACAATCAATTGATGTAAATATCCCACATCACTTGATCTTCTGACTTTCAACTACAATACATCAATTTCTTTAAGCAATTTTACCTTTTGAGTAATAATTCAACTTGCACTACTCGTGGATTTACGGCTCAAAGCATCGATAACTAAATTTTCTATGTCAGGACAATATTGTCTATACAAATCATAGTCTTTGATCAACTCTGATCATCTTCGATTCCTTAAATTCAGATCTCTTTTTGGCAAAATGTACTTTAAACTTAGATAATCAGTTAATATTTCACATTTCACATCATACAAGTAATTTCTCTAGATCTTGAAGCAAACATTGCTGCAGCTAATTCCAAGTCATGCGTCAGATAGTTTCTCTCATGTGATTTCAACTGTTTGGATGCATAAGCTATCACCTTTTTATTTTGAATTAAAACACAACCCAAGTTTTGCAATGATGCTAATTCAAGAATGTGTTGTGTTGAATCCTCATCAAGAGACCAATCTTTTCAATGCAAGCTAAAAGTTCTCTCTTGGTTGCATGTCTTCAAGGGGCACAACAACTAGATGCCAAGGGTTCTAGCCAATGCAAAAGAGAGGCCTCTGTGGAAAGGCAGAAGATGGAGCCTGCTAGGCCTTGATCGATTACTCTGACGTTCTTGATGTATTTCATGAGGGATGAGGCCAATTGCCCTACTACTGTTGGCTCTACCAGATCTATTGGAACGATGTCAGAGCATCAAAGAGATCTTTTGGTGGGACCGTCGTCGAAATAACCTGCAGGCCGAGGCAGTCCGAGCCAGCCAATAATGAGGAGAATTGTCACTGCAAAGGGAAGGCCCCAACGAACGACTCGGGTCAGTTGCCTCTTTGTTGTCTCGAAAAAAAAAATGTGAGGGATCTAGGCTCAAGTGGTTTCTGATGCAATTCGAAGATGCTAAGGTGAGCATTAGCCTGGATGATAAATTTGTGTTGATAAACCCCTAGAAGGACTAGAACTCTAACTCTTCAACGGTGCCTCCCAATACCCCCTTTATGATAGCCGATGTAACATGGTCTCCCAACTTAAAAGGGGTCATACTGGAGCAAAGCTTGTCTGTCCTTTGTTGAATGACCAATAAATATCACTTGATGGCCTGACAAACCACTCACATCCAATCGTCCATCCTTTGTCGAGAGCGCCGGAAATGATTAGATGTGGGACAAAAATTTGCTAAAGTTGTGGGGAAGCTGAAAGCTGAGGAGGTGGTGCTCAGACACTCAGATCTTGCTCAGATCTTGCTTTTGGTTTCTCAGGAGGAAAATGGGTATTAAATGACCGAATGGCAGTGATGAAGATGCCTGAGGAATTTTTTATCGAGCACTCCTCTCACCTGACACAAGTTGCTCTTCTTGCAGAGAAGTTCAAAGAAGGGGTTTTCTTTGGTGTTAGTCGTTCGGTGAAGGTTGAGTTGTTTTTCCTTATGTGGTCGATTTGGATGTCTCCACGCTAATAACTGACTTGGAGGCTAAGAAGGAAGAGGACGAGAGTGACCAAGACAATGACAGGTTGTTGAATTTATAGCCTGATCTTGATTTTTATGCAATTTATTTAGTTTCCTTTCTAACACTTGTAAAAAAAAACTCGTATTTGTAAACTTTTTTTTTATTATGAATGAAAAATAATTTTTTTTGGTCGGTTGTACTTTACATTTTATAATGAAAAATAATTTTTTTTAGTCGGTTGTACTTTACATTTTATTCCTTTATTATTATTTTTTTAAAATGTTTTATATGTACTTGAGCCAATCGATTTGAAACGCTATAAATAGAGGCTCATATCCGTCTCCAAGGGGATTTTTTTAGCTCATTGAATGGTCTATCTTTCTTTCTTCCTCGGTTTTATAGCAACCGCTACGTTGGATCTGTCGCCACTTAGGAGATTGGAAGTCTGGAGACTACTGAGATGAACATTGTGCTTCCTCTTTGGGCTCTGGATTCTGCCATTAATAGTTTAGTTGGGAGGGGAGCTCGCCAGTTCCAAATTTCATTGATTTTTCTGCATCTTCGTAAGACGAAAGTGTGGATGAGGAGGCTTTGGGCTAGTCTACCTGGCTCCCATAGATAATCCATTCAAGGATGTCAATGATTCATGTTCGTCAACATAACCATCTCTTTTCCACCGAGCGACTCTTTCGAAGGGTGTTGTGGATTTGCTATCTGAGTTGGTCACCACTCGTGGAAAGCTTTCGAGAAACAAAGAAGACTTCCTTTCTATTGCCAAAAGGTTGGAGTTCGACATTGATTTGGCATGGGCAAAAGTTGAAGTGTCGGATATACAGAACTAGATTACGGATTTGGAAGATAAAAAAGCTAAAGGATCATGTTACTATTTTGGAAGAGAAGGTGGAGGTTAGCTCGAATATAACTTTCGGAATACGCGAAGGCCTAGATAAAGTGAATGCACTTAGTTCAGGCTTAGTAGCGATGTGACTATCCCAATGATGAGTCAATCGTCTATGGCGGAAAATTTGTTTTGGATAGGCTTCTGCAGTCTAGTTTTATTTCTCCAAATGACATTAGAAACAATTGCCTCAACCTTTTTATTGTGATACTTAGTTATATGTATTATATACATATATTTTTTTAACATTTCTCTCACTCAACTTTTGTAAACAAACTCAACTTGTGAATAAAAAGATGGAAAAAGCATTTCTTACCTTGACTTTATTCTTTTGATTTTATGTGCCTTTGCCGAGCAGGTTTTATAGTAAAGAGAATTTTCCTGACCATGAGGAATGCCCATCAAGTGATGAATTGAATTGGTTGAAGTATTGAAGCGGCTCGCTAGGCCAAATAACCACTTAATTGAAGAATGTCATTGATTTCAAATAGATGAATGTGATTGTAGAGAGTTAATGACTCGTTTGATATGCTATTGCTCAACCCAAGTTTTACACCACCCATATTTCAGTTGCTCGGTAAAGTCGTCGTCTTGGACTAGCCACTCTTTTCTCTTGACTTATTAAGCATATTTTATCGCACTCTTCACAAGGGTAGCCGTCTAGACTTGCTGCTGGGGTAATTCATGTACTATCAACCATAGATCTTGTCGTAAACGAGCAAGGAATGACCACGAGTGCTTGACCTTTGTTTCGAGATAAGAGTCATGGGAATTTTATGGTGAATGGGTATTAAGGGTTCATAATTGCCTGAACGGACGTCTGGCATCGCTGTCAGATTTATTTAGTCGCTCATCCATTTCATAAGCGAATCATGGCCTGACCATCAAGGTCTCATACTCAGTTTGATTGTTAATAATCTTGAATCTTACTTTTATCTAGTGGTATGAATGTTCTTTGGTCAAATTTGTTAGAGCAAGATTGAGCCTTGCCTCAATGTGACTAAACCCTTCATTGATATGTAAGACTCAGGTATAGATGTTTGTTGCCACTTCTTTGTCGGGTTTGCTCGGCTCGAAGAAGTCAGCTAAAATGTTAGCTATGGCTTGAGCCTTGAAGGCTGATTTGGGTAACTAGGATAAATCAAATTCACTTAGTTCTACCACCCATTTTGAGAAATCGACATAAGTGTTCCAACCGGGTGAGAATTGACTTGAGCTGGTGGTCGGTGATGATTCTGACCAGATGTGTTTGGAAGTACAGGCAGAGCCTGCGGGCAGAAATTATGAGAGAGTTGATTTTTTCATAATTGGATAACTGAGCTCAACTCCATGGAGAACTCGGCTAACATAAGAGACTGAGAACTGCTTTCTTTGTTCCTTTCGAACTAAAACAAAGTTGATAGCCTCTGGTCTGACTCCCAAATGTACTGAAACTATTTCATTTGACATTGGGCTTTGAAGGAGTGACGGTGATGCTAAAGAGTCCTTCAATTTCATGAACGTTTATTCACATTCATCTGACTAGTTGAAGTTCTTTGCTAGTCGTATAATCTTGAAGAAAGCAATGCTCTTGTCGCCTGATTTTCAAATGAAATGACTTGATCTTATGATTCAGTTGGTCAGCTTTCGGACTACCTTTGTGTTTTTTGGGGCATAACATGTTGATCAATGCTTGAACTTTTTCAGATTGACTTTAATTCCTTCAGCGTTTAGGAGATAGTCTAAGAGCTTCCCTGTTTCTGTGATGAATGTGCATTCTTGTGGATTAAGGCTCTTGTTAAACTTCTTTAGTGTTTTGAATATTTCTTTTAGGTCTTGATGTGTTGATCGAGTGTCATGCTTTTTACTAATACATCATTTATGTATACCTGAATATTTTTTTCTTTCTATTTTACAAAGATTTACATCTATCTGACGCTGATAAGTCGCCCTTATATTTTTAAGCTCGATGGACATTATATTATAACAACAAACTCCCTCGTTGGTGATGAATTTTGTCTTTTCTGTATCGGCTGTGTACATTTTTATTTGGTGATAGGCGGAAAAGACGTCAAGGAAGCTTATCACTGAATGACCAACCATTATATCTACGAACAGGTCGATCCTTGGCATGGGGTAGGTATTTTTTTGGCAGACTGCATTTAAATTGTTGAAGTTGACATGTATATACCATTGGTTGTTTGCCTTATGAGTTATGATCACGTTAGACACCTATCCCGAGTATTGGACTTCTTAGATGGAATCAGCTTCTGCACCTCTTATCGGATCAATTCTACCTCTTCTTCTGCTTCGTCGGTCAAACCGTTGGATTGACGTTCAATTGATGACAGACATATAGGTCAAACCGGTGGGTTGACGTTCAATTGATGACAGACATATATATATATATATATATGTATTGTTTCTTTTTTTTTCCTTAGAGAGAAGATAATGCCTATTTAGTTTTTGGTGTTGCAGATAAGATTCAATGTTTTTTTTCCTGCAATGTTCTTTGAAATGAAAAGACTCCTCACTTAAAATTTCAATGATATGCAGTCCTTATGTTGCCAACGTCCTTGTCCCATGCCCCCAATATGGACGAGTCACGGTGAAAGCTGATCTTATTTTTGAAAATTATGGTAAGATTATAAGCTTTATTTAGCTTCTCAACTGATATTTTTATATCAGCATCTTCGTCTAATTTACTACTTGGCCTTATATCATGAAGTTGGTCTGGATGTGCATGCAAAGCTTGTCATTTCCCTGGAAGTAAGCTCAAATATCACCCAAGCTCGCAGAAATGAAAATCGGCCATCTAATTACACCATTCCTAAGGAAACCAACATAAAAAATGATAACAACGTAAGAAACCTATTAGATAAAAGTGAAGAAAATAAGGATTTAGAAGACTCTGAGCGGGCGCCAACTTCATTGTAAGTATGCTAGAATTTCTTCTCTTTTGTAGAATATTTTGCGCATATTTTCTTTCATTAACACCTGGAGGATATGTTTATTCCACCGCAGGCCCAGCTTTGATCTCTTACAGGATGAAATGAATGAAGGCAAGATTCTGCTTCTATCCTTCTATCCACTAATATGTTTTATACTCTATCCGCACCTTGATTCGTTCAAACATTCTATTTCTTATTTTGCTCTTATTTCATTTTAGTACCGTTAAATTGAATTAAACTACCTTTAAAACTAATGTCGGATTTTAGCCATTCTTGAACCTGGAGAAATGGACGGCAAACCCAAGAAGGATGAAACAATATTCGATCACATCCGTAGAAAGTCCAAATCCTTCCCTGATCTCATCACGCTGAAGACCATGGATCTCTCACACAAACCCTCAATTCTAACAGGAGTAAACAACTCTGTGGACCAATCTGAGCTTGATTCCAGCAAAACTCAAGAAGATTGTGTGATTCTGATTGATTCAGAGCCACTTGAAACCATCAACACATCCATGGACCAATGTGATTTTCATACTGCTAAAGCTCAAGCAGATGTTGTGATTCTAATTGACAATGATCCTGTTAATAACTTAACCGAGTCTAATGATGCTGCAAAATATACCCAAAACTCTGATGTCCATATATTGGACAGAAACGAAAGATTCATCAACAGTTCCAGCATTATTATTGATCAACCGGACAAAAAACAATCTTTCAATCTGATTGAGAATTCCACTGATTCTGAAATCTCCTCTGACGTCTCATACCATCCAAACAATCAGCTGAATGAAAGAAAACGTTTCCATAACTGGATCAATGATGTCATAGTAAAGGACTGCAAAAAGCACAAGTCTGGGCCCTCAAGCGACTCTTGTAGTACTAGAAGCTGTGATGTCCCTTCTTCCAGAATTAAACCGGAAGGAAGTGAGCTTTGTGACGTCTTTGTGCCAAGCTCTTCTTTGGGAACGCCTAGTGGTTCCATGGGAGTTTCCTTCCTGGGTTTTAAGAGTGTATTCTCCTTTCTTTGATCAAAAGGGTTAAAAATAAAGACGCACATATCCTTCTTGGCTCGATTAATAAATCAGCAAGCATTTCAGTTCGTCTATGAAGAGCTCCAAGTGAGTTGTCCATCTTATGTTTTTTTTTGAGATCATGTGTTTGAGACAGCTAATGCATCATTATTTATCTTCATTTGCAGGAATATAAACAGTTACACATGCCGTATATGAGTTGGGATATCAGGTAGTAGATTAGACAAGCAGTTGCTTGCAAATGGTTATACAACGCATTATCATTCAGCTGTTGATTATTGCAATTTCTGCATGATCAATTCCTATTGAAGTTTTTACAGGAAGTTGTGGAACAATTTTTTTTGGGAAATTTACATAAATACCGGATAAATCCTTTCTATTTAAATATCTAACACCTAAAATTTAACATTTACATTTATAGCACTTTAGCGTCATAAACTTATAAATGACAAGGCATATTTCACTTTTAAAAATAATAATGATATTATCTTAATCTGATATTGAAGATTTAGAGGTTATGTAAACATGAATGTTTAGGGAATAGATATCTCAAAAAAATAATACTTATCCACTTCAGGGAGCAACTTTAAAGATGCTGGACTTGCCTAAATTGGCCCAAAGATGGTAGCAGATTTCCTGGCAGGCCCAACCTAAGTTCCCCTGATTGATTCTTTAGCCTGCCCAATCTAGCGAGCCTAGCCTAAGTCAGTTAAGGGAGAGTAGATGATCCTGAATGTGTGTTTATTCAATAAGGGAAAAGTGCCAAGCCTCGAAGTAAAGCCAAATAAGCTTAAACATGGGTAGAGAAAAATCAACTTTATGGCTCATTTTGTTTAAATCATAAAAATCAATATATAAATAAGTTTATATATTCATCTTCTAAATGATTTGATTGATATTTATCAACCAAAATATGTACAACTCGAATAAAATTAGCTTCAATGGGCTTCATTTAAGTGATCGGATACTTAATATCTAAGGTCTGTTTGGGGCAGCTTATTTGGTCTGGTGGCGCTTTGAAAACGCACCTGACCTGTTTGAGTAAACTATGTTTTGGAAGCTTATGCGTTTTCAAAACGTTGAAAACAGCGTTTTCTTTCTGGCAGCGGTCTGGTTTTTCCAAAAAAAATAAAAATTTGTAAGTCATCTCACCTAACTTATTAGCAGATTATTTTTAATCAACCTATCTGCAGATTATTCAATAAACTGTAGCTATCCCAAATAGACCCCTAGTTTTATCATGCTATGTTATTTAACAAAGATCATCATTTAGTTTGATTGAGAATCTCATTTTGACACCCAATTAAAAAAAGCATTTTGATTTCATGAAATACGAATGGTATAATTTCTAGATTTCATTTAGATGAGATATTGTCTATATATATTTTTTCAATTTATATGTTTTTCTCAAAAAAAAAAAAAAAAAAAAAAAAAAAAAAAAAAAAACTCCTTTAATCATAACCATGGAATATAGTAGGCGGCTTATATGGCCGCCATGATAATTAATTTTTACAAACGTATATCTCAATTTAATAATTTTATATATTCATATCTAAAGCATTAATTTTCATTTTTTACACGACTAACACTCACATTTAACATTACATTAAAAAGATCACCATAATTAAGTACTGGAAAGTGAACTGCACTTTTTCATGTAAATATCAAACTTTTAGGCAAAATATAAATTCATAAAAATCGTTTGTGAACAATTCTCAATCCATTAATTGCATTTGCATATCAAAGCGCAGGGGAAGATTACTGTTTCTTATGCTTTCCAAACCAAAGCGCATGATTTCTAATTAAAAAAGCGGGCAATCAGACCATACCTTTTTTAGTTAATTTGGCTATTTAAATTAATTGGTGGGGATTAATAGGGGCCGGGAGATCAACGTATTATATTAATTTTGTCCTTCCAAAAGCGACAAAAATACCTCTGCAGTCCTACAGATCGTCTTTTATTTATGTTTTCCGCGTCCGCGGAAGCCGAGGTCTAATCTAAACTGGTGACTTCGATATCTGAAAAACTTGTTGAAGTTTTACTAAAATGTCCTGAAAAAGAAGTTAATTGCGGTTGTGATGGGCTTCTCCAATTTGCAATTTGCAATGCATGGCATTGGTAATGAGATGAGAATAGCACTGTGATGAATTTTTAATGTTTTTAGTCTAAGAAATCTTAATTTTGAATGCATAAATTTTAAAATAAATAGAGTGGTTGGATCATAATCTCTTATCACAAAGATGACTACATGTGCAATTTCTCTTGATCTACAGGTGATTTATGAACAACGAAGGTTGTTTATCATAGACAATAGTTAGGAATGGATAGGGGGACGTGAAATACATATGGTGAGCTACAACGATGGTTAAAGAGCCTAAAATAGTAAGTTTCAAAGATAATTGAGTATGTCATGATGTTGTTAGGATTTCATAGAAAACTTTATGGCCTTGGCCCATAAATGAAACTTCATGAGCCTTTAAAATGTCTTTCAAGCCATGACCACCTGCTCAGTTACACTACACATATGATTAGTGATCAAGAACAAAATCTTAATTGTTAAAATGATGGTGTGCAATATCACTAAGCCAAAGACCCAATGTTATTAGATCTAAACCTCTAGTGCTTCAATAATCCCATATATTTTAGCATTTCATTCAATCTTTTTATGCCAATTCAATGCAAGCTTTTTTGAAGCAATAAACTGATTATAGTAGTGTTACTCAATTTGACTTTCTTTTCTCTTTTTTTTATTCAAATTCTCTTTATTTTGCTTTTATCATGTCTCTTTTGCTCTATTTTTCATGCAAAATTTTATTGATTGATTGTAAGTTTTTTTTTCATGTATTTCTAGCTAAAATTGTGCTATTTTTGCTTCGAAAAAAAATTTTAGCCATCAAACTTAAAGAGTAAGAAAATAGCCATTTTAAATTTTCTTAGTTATGGGAATAACATGAACTTGCACTTAAACTTTCATCTTTTTGGTACCTTGTTATTTATTTGGGAAGAAAACTTTCAAATCATAACTTCTACTAATACATAACATTTAATTTTCTTACTTGAAAAGTTATTTTACCTTATACTGTTACAAAATTAAAAACTTCTTAAAGATGCCCACAATATATATTTATTATTGCTTGACATCGACCATCTACAACTGTTAATCAAAACTAATATTTACCATTGTAGCCACCTAACATTTGACATCGACACGCGTGAATATATATATATATATA